GAGGAAGAGGAAGAAGAAGAAGAAGAAGAAGAAGAAGAAGAAGAAGAAGAAGAAGAAGAAGAAGAAGAAATGGTAAAAACAGAAAGACCAGAAGTTCTAGCACCAGCCCACCACACAGAGACCCGGCCTGAACTACTTACTCGTTCTGTGTCTCTCTGAAATAGTTTTTCATGTGGTACTTCCGTAACACTGGCTCTAATGTCAGAAATACAGGCCATTTTTGCTTTTTTCTTTGACAGTAGTATTGTTGGCCAGGTCTGTTCCTCTGTCTTGTTCAGAAACAGTTGGTTAAGTTATTCTGAAACATTGTTTACAAATCTATCAGCAGTATTTTTTCAAGGACCTTAATTTCAGCGTAGGAAAAGGAAATCTCACACACCGCTCTCATCCTGCATTCCTCTCTTCTCTGACTGGTCTTTGCTGCAGGGAGGCAAGGTGGGTGCCATCTTTCCTCTCAGTGTCTTTGTTGCTTAATATAAAGGCTGGAGATGGGGTCACATCCTGCGCAACCACAGGGGACACGTGTAAAGATGACAGAAGGAAAACAGGGTTTAGTGTGTCTTGAATCAGAAGTGTTTCCTTCTAGGATCTCCTGGAAGGGTTGGAGGGAAGAAAATAATACTCCAATAAAGACAAGCATAAGATTAAAAATCAAAAGAGTGTGTGTGTGTGTGTGTGTGTGTGTGTGTGTACATGCTAAACAATGAACTCAAGAAGTGTAAAAGACTGTGCCCTTTTTTAGCACCTTGGTCTGTCTTACATATGAGAAAGAACACTCAACTGCTTAGGCCTGTTTCAGGTCCTGGCTTCCCCTGGAGCCAGGAGCTTGAGGTAAGAATGGTGAGCCGGGCCCCCAGTGTCTCTGCAGAATGCGTGCAGAGTATCAGCCCACAGTGCAGGGAGAAGAGAGGACTGAGGAGCCAAGGGCGTGCTGCCTCTGCAGACCGTCACAGCTGCTCCCACTTGGACTTCCTCCCCAGAGAGGGCACCCAGGGGGGCCTCTGGACAGGGTGCGTCTCTCCATGGAGACCAGAGGGGGCAGCCAGGTGGCTGGCAGTCCTCTCTGACCCTCTCCTGGGGGTTGGAACACTTGATCCTTCACCAGCAGCTGCTGCCCGTGAACACAGCGCTGACTGGTCTTCGCTGCAGGGAGGCAAGGTGGGTGCCATCTTCATTTTGCCGCCTACTTTGGCCTGCCGTGAGAGCACTCCACTCAAAGCCAGGCAGTCAGAGCTGTGTTTTGACACAGCAAGCCATGTTTTGTTCTAAAGCTCTTTGTTTCATTTAAAGGAAAAGAATGATGGGTTGAAGTGCCAGGTATAGGAGATTTGATCCTCTGCCCTGCCTGACAGCCTGTCATGTGGGGAATAGTGGCAGCTAGCCACTGCTGCTGTGACCAGACAGCCCCTGCATGGGCTGCAAAGTGGCCTCAGGCAGGGCAAGGATGGAGTAGGGATTGCGGCAGAGAGGCTTTCTGGAGTCACAAGCTCACATTCTTGTGATTGTTTCTGCCTCATCCTCACATTAGTGTAATTGTGAGTTCATTTGTGTTGGGATATTTGTGGTATTTAATTTTTAGACCTCTTTTAGTCTTACATAGTTTAAAAGCTCTAAGCAAAGAGTCTTAATTCTGTCTAGTTAAAAAATATCTAGTTAACCTTAGGAGTTCTTTGATGTTTCTCTTTATAGTTTAAGAAATACCTGCCATGGGGCAATCCCATTTGCTGCTAACAGTTGTGATGGGTCGAGGGGATTGGGTGTAGCCTCCCATTGCTTTGTGGGAATGCTGCACCCAGCTCACGTGGTAGGGCTCCCAGCCCTCCAGCAGGGGCAGCCTGCCTTGAGCTGAGCCTACGGATTCCTTTCCTTGGCAGGAGCTCAATACAATGAGGTGGTGCGGCTCATGCCCGCGTGGGCACTGGATCACCTGCAGAGGGAGGCAAGGATGATGGACCTGGGCAAGCAGAGGGGGACAGCGATGGGTGGCCTGTACTGCTGGCATTGGAGTCCATGGGCCAGCTCTCTTAAGTCAGCCCAGAACCTTGGTGACAAATGTCTCCTGCTTAAGCTCATCTGAGTCGGGTTTCTTTACTGTCAGTTGACATGCATCCTAGCTGTTGAACAGTAGTACTTTCCCCTGACCTCGGGGGTATCTTCTAAAGCTGCCAGTGGATCCTGCAACTATGGATGACACCAAACCCTACACTGTGTTTTCCTCGATGTGCATGCTTATGATAAAGTTTAATAAAGTGGGCACAGTCTACAGAATAAATACTGGGTTGCCTGTATCAGCTAGGCCTGCCCTTGTAGCATTATGTTGTCTCCATGCAGGAGACAGGGGCATGGTACATGACGCTGGGGCAACAGCATGACATGTTTGCAGATCGCAGTGGTCACGTCCTCTGAAGTAACTGCTGGTTACCTCTGCTGCCCTTTGAACCAGCATGCAGTCACCAGATAGGGACCTGTGAATACCTGATCCATGTGAGATGGGGTTCTTGTCCTCTTCTTAAATGTGGTTTACTTGCCAAGTATGTAACATTTAATGTGCTGTATGGTGTAAATATTTTATGGGTTTAATATTGATCAACTCATATTTTGATGCCGACAAAGATTTAGGAGTTAGGGTCAGCCAAGTAGCTCAGCAGACTAAAGCACCTGCTTAGGCAGTGCGCAGTGGCCAGGGTTTGATTCCCAGCGTGCCATGCTGGCCCCGCCCCCAGGGCACACTGAGATGGCGATTGAGACTGGGTGTGGTGGTGCATGCCTGTAATCCCAGTGCTTGGGAGGCTGAAAACAGGAGGATCACTATGAGTCCAATCTGTGTAGTAAGACCCTATAGACCCTGTAGGCCCTGTACTAAATATATAAAAGAAAAAAGAAAAAGATGTAGGGGTTAAAATGGTACCTAGTCAAAATTAAGTGGTTATATTGCTGCAAGAAACATGTTTAGAGAGGTTCTGTGTGTGAAGAGGAAAGAAGAAAATAGAAGTGGATCTGAAAGTTTTAAAAAATAAAAATAAAAAACAAGGTATGACAGCAATAACCAATTGTAAAAATAAAAAGCTATATTATAACAAATAGGACAATGGCTATCCCAAGTAAAATAGGGCTTACTTTACTGTCAGCACTGCAGCACCATGCTGGGCCCTTGATGGCTCCTATGTGATTGCCAGGCAGGTACCGTCGGCTATGTGGATACACTGTATTTGAGTCAAGTCACCTTCTGGACACAGTGGCATGGGACACTGAGGTTTCATCTTGCTAGTCAGGATGCCATGCAACTTAAAGCTTATGAATTGTGTATTTCTAGGCTACTTCATTTAATATTTTGAGACCATAGTTGACTGTGGGTAACTGAAACTGTGTATTTGTGATGTTTTGGCAAGGATAGCAAGGGCACCCGGAACCTTCCCTCATCACGGCAGCTCAACCTGGAACCCCAGGGAGTTGGAGCAGGGTGTTCTGACAAGACACAGGGCGTTGCTGTGCCTGGGCCAGGCCGCTGCGCTGCGCAGGAGGTGCCCCTCTTTGTGCTGCTGTCAGAGGTGGTGTGAGCAGCGGTGGCCTCTCACAGGAGGAGTGAGGTGGCGCTCGAGGTGAAGGCCGCCTGGTATCTGGAAGTAGGGCCCAGCGTCCAGTGGCCCTTGGGGTTGGGATCTCAGGATAGGCCTTCCACTTTGAATTTGGGTCTGCCTCAAGCAAAGAGCAAGGCACAGCAGCTTTCTCCAGGAGCTTCGGGTGCCCCCGCCCCACCCGTGCTACAGAGGAGTCAGGCTGGGGCCATGCCCAGCCACCTCGAGCGGCATGTCCTAGGACCAGGCCGTGTCCTGAGAGGTTAGGGCATCTGGGTGTGTGACGGTGCCCTCGGCCACTGGCCTGCAGGGCCTTTATTGACACCTGCTCAGAGAAAAGCTGACGCACAGGTCACAGAGAAGACACTGACCTTATCACCTTGGCTCTTGGTCCTCTGGCATCACATGTGTTCGTTGATGAGGGAGTTGATAAATAATGGGGGGACATGTCTGTGCCCTAACGGAAGGCCTTCCTGGCAGCATACAGGCAGACTTGCAGTTAATTATGTGAGGGCTTCGAGTGGCGGGGTTGACAATGGAGCAAGAAATGAGACTAGTCAGAGTCTTTGACAATTGTAGGAGAAGAACGGCATGGACACTGGGGACATTGTCTGCAGAGGCGCCCTGAGGATGGACTGTGTGGGGCTCAAGACAGGGCTGCCATTGTCTTTGTGGTATTAGGAAACTTACATGACATTCAAATGGCAAGGGAACCTTGGTGCATGCGGGTGTGTATAGGAACACTGGATCGAGTCACCCAGGCAGAAGCCTCTAGAATCCCTGGTGCTAGCATGGGGTGGGAATTCCCCATCTGGAGAGGTGCAGCAGGCTGCCCTCCGCAGGCAGAGGTTTCCCAAGGACTTTGGTCACCAGCATTACACTTTCGTTACACTTCCTGGGACATAGCTGCTGAGGAGACCTCCTTATTCACCTTGGTATTGCTAAGGCCAGGATTCATCTGCTGCATTTGGTGCCTGGTTAGGGCTGCCTTGTGTCCTCTTGTGGCGATGACATAAGGGTACCCCCAGCCTTTGGTGAGACACACAGCCAACCCCAAGCGGGGAGTCCTCCTGGTCTAATCGTCTCCTGCAGGCCCCCCATCAGTACGATTGCACTGATCATTAATTTTCAGCCTACGAACTCGGGGGACCCATTTGGACCCTAGCTCAAGATGGCTAATGTCCCGTGTGGATTCTGAAGTATCACTTGCCATATCCATTAAACTAATGAGACCTGTCCCTTAATTAAACAGGGTGAACTCAGAGCTTGGCAAAATGGAAAGCAGGAGTAGGTAAGTGGCTGATGTCTCCCAGAGACACACACCAGGGAGGCCTTGGGTGGGGTTGTTTGTGCCTGTGGGTGAGCAGGAATGCAAATAGCTAGTGCTTTCTTGCCTAAAGTGCTTTACTGTTCTCCTCTGGAGCACCAGCTGGCTAGGTGAGTGCGTAGATAGCAGGCACTGGGTCAGAGCCTTGCTCACTGCAGCCCTCTCTGCCCCTCACCCGCGGCCCTGTGCAGGGACAGGGAGCAGGGGGTGGTGAGAGCTGACCCTGGCTCTGAGGGAATGGCAACGAGGGCCTCTTGGGACATCCACCCACTTCCTAGCAAACTGGAGTGTCCTTGCACCCCTCCCTGATGGGAGGGTGTGAATTCCTCCAACAGCAGTCATTTCTTTAGTTGACAGTTGAGGAAACTGAGACACGGCACAGGGCTGCTGTGTTGTAGAAGGTCGCATGATTTGCAGTGCATCACCAGGTGCCAGCCCTGCCTCCCCACTGGTGTGATGCCAAAGCCAGGTCCCCCAACCTCCAGGAAGCTGTCCTGCCTCTCTGAACTCCCAGTTTATGTTTCATTTCTTCCCAACAATCTCCTTCACACAGTCCCTGTAAAGGGCAACTCAGGCCAAGTGCTCTTGTGCCTCAGTGCTGCAGAGCTCTGCCTGTAGGAGTAAGCGAGGGCTGAGGGAAGGCTTGGCTGTTGGCAAAGGCCTTCTGGCTCCGAGAATCCCCTGTCTGAGCGGGGTTGGAGGAGGAAAAGCGCAGACACCAGCAGCCAGCACCAGGCTGTAAGTTGCTCTGTTTGGCCCCTAGGAAGAGGTCTTGCTTTGCCTTGGTCTTAACCATCCAGCAGAAAAGTATAAAAACGTAGTATAAGAAGTAAAGCCATGCTGTTACGTTGAGCTGTAGGAGACTCAGGTCAACAATTTCTGACATTGCCAGTCAAGTGGAAGACCCAATACTATTACGGGCTACTGGACTCTTTTAGAATATTTTGCTGAGTTTACACATCTATAATATTTAAATAATGGAACTTAACAAAAAAAGGGGATACAAATGAATGTCCATTTTGTATCTGTGTATTCAAAGTGATTAGGTTAGATACATAGTTACATTCTCTCAATGAATAGAGGGATTTGTTCTAATAGTGTTTGTAAATAGGATATCTTGTCTGCATCTTGTACAGCAAGTAACCACTAGGAAGAGAGTATGCAATGTGTTAATTATTGAAACTGTCCTACCAATTTGGTTTGAAACTGTCTCATTGCTATTTGTTTCTCAATAAAATTATGGAGAGGAAAAAAAAAAAAAAAAGAAGTCCCCTTGACAACTCCCTGTCACTCTCTGTCCTTGATTTAAGCGCAGTTTTTCTTTTTCTAATGAGTTCTGGTCTTCAAATGGAGCTGGAAGGAAAAACAGTGACCTTGGGAGTATAGGCATCCTTGGTGAATTTTCTTAAATTAATGAGACTAAATGGGGAAATCGAGATCACTGTGCAAATTAGTTTTGCGTTCTGCGTCTTAATGACTTAAATTGCAGATTCTAATTAAATGCCCCCAGATAATGGTGAAGTGCCTTCACGGGTCTTTCTGACCTAGAAGTTTTCTCTGGCCTGTGAACTAGAGTAAAATTGGTCTGCAGATGGCCCTCTGCCTTTAAGCGTTTCTGTCTCCACAGTCCTTGTGATGCTGGTGATACCAGCTGCCCTCCTGAGGGCAGGGTGGGCAGGGGCCGGAGGAAGCAGTGCGGGTGGGTTTGCAGCCCCATGGCTGGCCCCATCAGGTGACGTGTGCTGTCTGCAGTGTGCTGGGTGAAGGTGCTCCTGGGCTTCATCGGTCACTGAGAGGGGATGCTAGGAGCACAGTGGGAGATGGCTCCGAGGGCAGCAGCTCTTCCCTGGTGCTGGAAGGCCTGCGCCTGCACCTCACACAGTGGCCTGCCTGGAGCAGGGAGAGCTCCTGGCTGCACTGTGCATTTGCCAGGTAGTGAGTGAATTTTGGGCTGTTAATTGACTTTGCTATCATTTTAACAGCTGGGTCATGGTGTCTTATGGATGTTCCCAGACGTACTTACTTGTATGCCTGGCATTCAACCTGCTCCTGGTCTGTAGTCAGAGGGTATAGCAAACACCTTTGCGCACAAGCTTTTTCTTTGTCTAAGTCTGCTGGCAAGCGTTTTGTTAGTATTTACAGATGTTGTTAATGTTTTGTTTATAAAATGTGATGAATTGTCCTTTCAAGTGCTTTTATCATTTTTTTTTATGTATTGGGTACAGGGCTTCACTGCACAGCTCAGACTCGTAGTGATCCTCCTATTTTCAGCCTCCCCAGTGCTGGGAGTACAGGCCACCACACCCAGTCTTGGTGGCTGGCTCAGTGCACCCGGGGGCGGGATGTGGTGCCAGGGATCAGACCCTGGCCTCTGCACTTGCCTAAGCAGACGCTTGCTTCGCTAAACTGTTTTGCTGGCCCTTGCTTTTACCATTCTTGGATGTCGTCAGAAGAGTAGCATGGCCCTATACAGTTTCCTCCACCAATGTGTATTTCCCCTGGAAGAATGGCTAGACCTCCTTTGGAATGCATAACTTAGATGAAGATAAGTATATTTAGCATTGATTCAGTTATTAGGGTTTGGACCCTTTTACCGTAGCTCGTGGGGAAACTGGCAAGTGCAGAGCCATGCCCCTGGTGTAGCGCAGCCAGAACTACTATCCTGCTCATCCTACTCAAGAAAGAGGGGCTCTTTCATGTCATACCACCTCCTGGACATTGTTGTTATATGCATTATTCGTGAATTTTTATAAACTCATCAGCATGGCTGTAAAATGCAAGGTTTAATACCATAGGTTCTTTCTCAGTTTTACCATTCTTGTTACTTTTTGCCTTTAAAAAAAAAAAAAACAAAGCAACAAAAACTCAGCAGTATTTATTACCTTTTAAAGCAGAATGTGACCTGGGCACGCCACTTCCATTCACAGGCGTTGTTCCAAATGACTTTTTAAATAGCTCTGCAGTATCCTTAGGAAGTTGTTTCTCCCTTGAAACACTACTTGCCTTTGGAAAACAAGCCCGTGCAGCTTCTGCCATGAAGTTTTCAGTATAACATACTTGTAGGGGCCTAGGACATGCGGATTTGAAACTACTGGGGAAAGTTTGCTTTTTTACTTTTGAGGCAGGGTTTCACTCTGTAGCTCAGGCTGGCCTTGAACTCACTACATAGACCCAGGCTCACCTTGAGCTTGCAGTGATCCTCCTGCCTCAGCTTCGGTACTGGGATTACAAATGTGTACTACCACACCTCGCTCTCTCTGAGTGTTACTTTTGGCTTAATTACCATGTGTGTGCACGTGTGCACTTTCGTGCATACACAAGGGGTCAAATGTGAGGCTTTGCATACTTTGCAACATCCCCAACCCTTATTCACCTTTTGCTGTTGGCAAACCAGTGAGTCTTTCCCTTTAGAATTTCTCTGGGTCCCCTGCCAGGCCATGACCCTCATTGCCAAGGTGCCCAGGCAGTAGGCCGCCACTAGAGAGACCGAGTCTGCTGGAGGGCCAAGCGGATTGCTCTTGATCTCTAGTTCTGAGCCCAGCCCTCCCAGCAGTGCCAGGACTTAGTGGAGTTTGGGCTCCCTTCTGCAGGGAGGGGTCCAGGGACAGAATGTGGGGGCTCTGGAGTCTGTGGGGCCCTCTCCTGTTCCTACATACTTGGCTTTCAACCCCAGCCCTGTGTGATGGGCAAAGCTAGCCACATCTCAGACACCAAAAAGGCTCACTCAGCACGGTCCAGCCTGTTCTCCAGGGGCCTGTGCATTGTGAGCCGGAAAGCGGGGGCTCACATTCCTGTGTCCATGTCTTCCCTGTACCGCATACACTCTGCTACCTGCTTGGCTCTTCAAGGCAGGCCCGCAGTGCCCTGCCAGATCACTCCTAGAGGAGAAGGACCTGGATGTTGTCTTCTTCTCATTCTCTGGAACTTGAGCAAAACTTGTATTTTTGAGCCTAAATTTGGACTGCAGTGAGTAGCAGTAAACGTGGAGTAGCTTTCGGCTTCCCACCTTTCTGGCCTCCCACTCCAGGGCGGGTCAGCTCATCAGGTCTGTCCCTTTCTGTTTCTAGGTGATGGATGTGGACGTGGGTCTGTGAAGCAGTGCGGCGTGGCCCGAGCACGAACATGTCCAGTAAGTTGCTTGGTGAATTAACTCGCAGTGGAATCTGGGTCCTTCAGACACAGAGGGTGGACACCCTTGGGAAGTTGGGGTGTCCTTGGATGTAGGGAGACTGTCAAGAGGGTGTGTTCAAGAAGGCTTTTGGCGCAGCGTAATTGTCTGCACTTAGAAAGGTTGGTTCCTCTAAAGCCACAAGGACATCGTGGGCTTGGACAGAACCTACAGCTCTCACCTCCTGCTTAACCTGTGAGAGCGGGATGCGGGCTCAGGGTGGCCTTGCTGACTCAGCCCCCCGTCTTCCCCTCCTTTAGGTGAAAGAGCTGGAGACCACAGCACTCAGGGGGTCTGTGTGGCTCAGGGGAGGAGAAAGCAAGCCAGAGACACGTGAGGGCTTTGTCCCTGCTGTGTTCACTACACAGGGGTAGCATGCACATGGGAGGCCTCTCTACTGCTTTGTCCTGCCGCAGGTTGTGGTGGAGAAATTTAAGGTCATAAATATTCTCTGACCTGACAACAAAAAAGCATAATAGAGCAACAATAGTAATCTCCAAAGTCGTATCTTATGGTTGCATTGGGACCACCGTTTGTGTGGCTCAGTGCTGTGAGGAGAAGGAGGTTTCTTGTGGGATGTGTGGGCGCACTGTGTGCTGGGGCAGGGCAGGAAGAAGTGAGTGGAAGCGGCTGGGAGCAGCAAACACTCCAGCCCGTGCCTCACTGCGTCTGTCCTCTGGTTCTTTGCCCCTATTTCTAGGGCTACTGCCACCGTAGAACACTAAGGCTTGGTGACACGTGCTTCCCGGGAAATCAGGCGTGGTCTGGCCCAGGAACAAGAAGCACATCCTCACCAATGACATCATGACAGCAAGAGAGCACAGCCCTCGCCATGGTGCCAGGGCCCGTGCCATGCAGCGGGCTTCCACCATTGACGTGGCGGCCGACATGCTGGGCCTCTCTCTCGCAGGTGAGCCTTACAGGGCTGGGCAGCACTGGGCAGGTGGGCTGCCTCCTAGGGCTGGGGCAAGAGCCTGGTATGGCGTCCTTCTCGGGAGGTAGATGCTCAGCGGGGAAGACAGCTGCTTCCTGGGGACCGCTTCTGCTCCACATGGTTGCCTCAGGTTTCCACCCTGAGTGGGCCAGGAGATGACATGGGAAGGTGCGTGGCGCCAGCTGGCAACTGCCAGACCATGAAGAAAGGCCTTCATGTTGGGGTCCTGCAGGAGGGAGGAGGGAGGTTTGGTTTTGGGGTCTGAGGTGTCTTCGGAATTGATAAGACACGATGTTTAAAAAATGACAAATTCAGAGTGCAGCAGCTAGGATTCATCCCCAGTGTGCCGTGCCACCAGGTGCCCCTGGGGCGCATTGAGACTACAATTGAGACTAGGTGTGGTGGTACGCACCTGGAATCCCAGTGCTTGGGAGGCTGAAAACGGGAGAATCACTATGAGTCTGATCTGTGTAGTGAGACCCTGTAGACCCTGTACCAAATACATAAAAAAGAAAAATTAAAATAAAATGACAAATTCTTCTATAATAGTTTAGGGTTGGGGAGGGAACAGGTAGAATGGAGGTTTTGTTTTTTCTTTGTTTTGTTTTTTTAAATATAAAAGCAAAGAAAGGTTTGTGAAGGTTGTTTTTTCTATCATCTCTTTCTATTTAGGAAATATACAGGATCCAGATGAGCCCATTTTAGAGTTCAGCTTAGGTAGGTATCTTTTATTATTACTATTATTACCATTATTATTATTTTGTTTTTAAAAAGTCACTTAATGCCAGGCATGGTGGTGTGTGCCTGTAATCCCAGCATTCAAGAAGTTGAGGCTAGGGGATCACTACCTGTTCAAGACCAGCCTGAGCTACAAAGTGAGTTCAAGGCCAGCCTGAACTGCATAGTGAAACCCTATCTCAAAAAGACAAAAAAGAAAAAAGAAAAACAAAAGACTAAAAAGAAAATAAACCAAAGTCACTTAACTACAGAACCACAAAACCCTCCCACTGGCATGAATTTGTCTTCAAGAACTTGTTGCTGCTGAGCTGTTCCTGAGAAGAAGCCAGGAGCTTCCTATGGGCAGGAAGGAACCAAGACAGCACTCTGTCTGCTCAGCAGGAGCCTGTCCTACTGCTTGCCTGCGTCCCTGTAGTCCTGCAGGGGCTGGGGACGCCAGGGGACAGGGAGGCAGCCCCACCCAGGCCACTGCAGAGGTGGCTCGTGCCCCTCCTCCCTGGCTGGGAGAGGGCAGGAGGAAAGCTCACTGTGCTCAGATGCGGCAGCATACTACAGGTGGATCTGCATGTGCAGGGTCCTGGGGCAGGGACGCGTGGCACTACTGTGACTTACGCAGGAGGCTGGAGGGCTGTGTGGCATTAATGGGACATGCTTCTTCAGAGTCCACCATTTCTGCGGCTTCTCCTTTTTCTCCCAGCCCTTGGTGGTCTTCATCATGGGTCAGCGGCTTGGTGTCAATGTCCAGGAGTGGTCTGAGCTGAAAGAGGTCCCTTCTGGGAGTCAGATGAGCAGGATGCTAGCTCCCACTGTGTTGCACTAGGGGCATGGCTTTGTGCCTGCCAGTGTCCCCACGAGCCGTGTCACATGGAGACGAGATGCCCATAGCAGTTAAGCTTTCCCACCCACAAAATTACTTGGACAAGCACAAAACCAGTGAAAGTATCAGGCGTGTCAAGTTGATATTAAATGGCAAAATGTTCCCGTTTTGGATTCAATCTTCCAAAGCAAACTCAGAGTGCTCCCAGCCTGGCTGGGACTGGGCCATGGCAGGTTGTGACCCCTGTGGCCGGGCTGGGATGTGAGGCTTGGGGAAGCAGCCCGCAGCGCTGCTGCCTGCCCACCTCCGGCCTGCATTACCTTTTACAAAAACACAACTGACCGAAGGACTTTGGATTTTGACAGGAGAGTGAATGTTTCCAAATACCCTCTTTATCTTTAATCATCTGAAGGATTAAAGCAGATAAGAAACAGAAACACAAACTCTAAGCAGTGAGTTTTGGAACCCAAAAATGTCACCTTGGAGAAAGGGACAGATGGGGAATAGGAGAGTGAAGTAGCCACATCTGAGTGTCCAGGAATGGTGGGGACCAAGGCAGAGCATTGTCCCAAAGGCTCTATGACGCTTGGGAGACCAAGCAGGGCTTGTCACAGAGTCGCTATAGGGAGGCCCCATGCTGTATGATTTCAGGAGGCCTGAGCGGGTTAGTGGTCATTGGATCTGGGGTGTGGGTGGGCTAGGGAGAGAAGGGGCGCTTCTGGGGTGATGAGAATGATCAGTCTCTTAGCTGTGGTAGTGGTTCTATGGATGTAGATGCTTGCCAACACCCGTGGGATGCTGCACACAGAATAGGTACATTTTATACACAGATTATACCTTAAAATTGATTTTAACAACGAATAGATGAAGACTACCAGACCTATGTAGGAAGCCTATAATGTGAAAGAAAAAGAAGTAGAAAAATAGAACTCTGGAAGACAGATGTAGAAGGAGAGAAAATTGCCAAAGGAGCTGTACTTTATATCCCAAAGAAAAGCCTGCATATCTGTATAAGAAAACAATTACGTAAGAGCAAAGCAATTGATGATTAAAGGCAAAGTTTGAAATTTTAAATATGACAGATACAATTTAGAAATTCTGTGAAATTTAGAAGTTATTCAAGAAATTCTCCCACAAAATAAAATTTTAAAAGCAAAATAGAAGATAGAAAATAAGTGGAAATGGACAATTAGGGAGTCAATTCAGGAGGCCAAATATTTAAAAAGAAAATCAAAAAGAATGCAGGGAGAAAATAATATGAGAAATCTCTCAGAGCTGAGGGCAGTGTTTTTAGGTTAAAAATGACTTCCAGGGCTCGGTATAATGTATAGCGATCAAAAAAGACCTAGAAGGATGCACATGACGGTGACATTTCAGAAAAAGGAAATAATACATGGGAAATAAAATAGAGACCCTGAAACTCCTGGAGGAGAAAATGAGTGCTGTCCCAGAACCAGGAATGAAACTGGAATGGACGTCTCAGGGACATTGAAAACTCTGAGAGACAGAGAGGCAACACCCTTAGTTTTATTTTCAGCCTGCAGTTCTGTATCCGCGCAGAATACAGAATTCTATCAGCTGAATGTGAGTGTGGGCGGCGCTGGTCTGGGCTCTCCACACTCTCGTGTGCTTCCCCTATGTGCTTTTTTGGAATTATGGAGGACGGGCTCCACCCAAAAGAAGGGATAAGTCGGGAAAAAAGTTGAGCTGGTGTCCAAAAACAGTTCACACTAGAGAGAGATGAAGGCAATCCCAGCCGAGGCGCTCATGAGTAGTGTGTGCTCAACTGTACTTGTCCAGAATGCGGATTTAGCAAAAAGCTGAGCTATGGGCCAGGGAGATGGCTCAGTAGAATAAGTGCTTGCCTGGCAAGCCCAAGGACTTGAGTTCAATCCCCCGTACTGAAAAAATAAAAAATAAAAAAGCTGAGCTAAAGTGATTGAGTCCTGAGGATGAGAGTCGTGTCATTAAAACATTTAAAATTTAGAAGATTGGGCGGGCGCTGTGGCTTTGCCTCGGGGTAGCCCCGGCCACGCTTCCTCCAGGGTGCGCTTTCTCTTGCTCTCTCCCCTTCATTTGGCCTACGCTCGCTGCAGAGCTAGTTTCTCACTCTTCACTTTTACTTTTTCAAATAAACTTGGCCACTGCAAGAAAAAAAAAATTACATATGTGTGACCCCAGCACTTGAGAGGCTCGGACAGGAGGATCGCCTTGAGGTTGAGGCCAGCCTGGGCTAGTACCAAGACCCTGTCTCCAAAAACAACCAAACTTACATTACATTTGTGTTTTTTATAAAACCTTAACTATAGGAAATGTCAGGAGAAAAGAAAACCCTATTCAGATGGTCAGTTGGAAATTTTGGTATACATTTTTATTTTTACTCTCACAGTGCTGTATAGAATTTTTTAATGACTTTGGGGGTGGAGGTGATGGAATCATTTAGAAGAGCATCATCCTGACGTTCGTGACACGCTTCTTTCCTGTAAAGAAATGTCACCAGAGTCGTCCCATGCTAATAGATAGGGATTCAGCCTCATTATTTCCCGTGTTATTCCAACATAGAGACTATCGCATGGTTGTGCTGCTTGTTTTAACCAGTCTTCTCTTGGTTGGATGTTTCGTTCTGGCCACTGTTAAGGACCAGTGCAGTGAGCACATTTATTCTAGGTCTTTCACATGTTTTGCTGATTATTTTCTAGGGATAAACTCTTGGATTTGGAATTGCTGGGTCAAGTGACATGCAATTGAAATATGTTTTACCCCTTTGCTTTAGAAGCATTTATTTAGCATGCATTAGGCTAAAATTAAGGTTATCTGGGTAGAGACATAAGGCATAGGTGTTGGAGACTGACTGGAAATGACAGGCATACATGGCTGAGCACGTGGCTCAGTGGTAGAGCTTCTGGTTAGCATGTGAGAGGCTTTGATTCAATCCCCTCATAATCATCAAAAAATCCAGTCACCACTGCCTGAGGTGGTCTAACAGTTGAAGCAAAAACACTGACCAAAATAAAATTAAAAATCCTAAAAGGGAAAGCTAGGGGATGAAATGTCCACAGTGAGCTCTGAGGGGCTCTGACGTGGCCCCGCAGCCAGAGCCTGTGTAGGGCCATGAGTGTTCAGGAGAGACCTGAGAAGACTGTCAGTGGCCACCTTGAGGATCTGTGCAAGTGGGAAGTGAGGGCCGGCCTGAGCACTGAAGACATGCTCAGTGCACTCACAGGGAGCCTCAGCAGGCCACGTCCGAGGTCTCCGGCTCCTGGAGGTTAAGGAAATCTTGGTCCAGCTTTACCTAACCACCAGCATTCACTTCGGTGGCCACACGTGGCACAGAATAGTATTTTACACAGTAGGATGAGGAGAGCCCTTTACCCCTAAGCGGCAGCAGCAACAGAAAGCAGTGGCAATGAACCCGAGGGGGACAAATCTGATTTCTAGGGTTCCCCTGGTATGTAATTCTACATATTGGGGCTTCCAGCAGAGAAATGAAGAGTGCAAAACAGTCAAGAAGGTATGCCTCATACACAGGGAAATTTTAAAACAAAAACTCCGCAGTCAAATAGAAACTGTCTTCGACAAGGCATAGATGTTTGACTTTACTAGGCAAAGATTGAAAACCTGCTGTTGATAAGGTGTTCAAAGAACTAGCGGAAGCCATATCTACAGAATTAAATGAAAGTGTAGAATCAGTGTTTCCCCAAATAGAGAGTGAAAAGATAGACATCATAAAGAATGACACATCCTGGGTTCAAAAGTACAGCAACTGGATTAAGAAATTCATTAAGAGGGCTCCGTTGCAGGCAGAAAAAGGAAGAATCGGCAAGCATGCAAAATAGGTGAGCTGCGATGATCCAATCTGAGGGGAAAAAAGATGAAGAAGAAAAATGAACAGTCTAGGGGTCTGTGGGCTAGCAGCAGGCAGACAAGTACAGATTTAATGAGAGTCGCAGAAGAGGAAAGAGAGGAAGGAGAGAAAGAATTTTTGAAAAAATGATGGCTATAAACATCTTGACTTGACAAAAAATATCTAAGCAGGCTAGTGACCTCCAAGTAGGATAAACTCAAAGTAATATCTATACCTGGACATGCCATAATAAGCTGTCGAGAGCCAAAGATGGAATTTAAAGAGCAAGACAGACATGATTTATTGTTTGAGGTTTTA